TTTTAAACAATTTTTAGATGATGTTAGGCCTGGGCACGATTTGGTTTGGATTGCTTTCGACTTCAACCCGAAACCAAAATGGAATCCTAAATCGTAATATGTTATCAAAGCTTAATAAACTCCAACGAATTTTCGATTCGATTAGAACTAAAAAAATGAGCATATGAATTTTAAGATTAGTTTACTCAAATGAACCATCATCTTGTGGGAGTATATTAAAAAATAAATTTCACATTGATTAAAGATAATAGTATAGATCAGCATGTAAAGATTTGAACTACGCTTCTTAGTAAAATTGATATTTAGATGGAAACCCAAGGACAATTTTGTCCTCTATAAACTGAAGAAAGAAAAAGCATTGAAGGCCCACTAAACAATACCCTCTCCATGTGCCCTTTGTCTTGTCCATGACTAGAAAAACATCTCTTCCCTACTTGGTCCAAATTCACTAACAGACGACACCTTCTAAAACCTTATTCTCGTTTGATGACATGACCATCCTGTCCCCTTGGTTTGTCCACTTGCCTTCTTGGCTAGATTGCATGGAGATGGAAAACGATACGACACTTGAAGATTCATTAAACAACAATTGCGATTAAGAATTAGTATATTCACACCAAAATTTTTATTGTTTGCAACACATTTTAATTGTGAGGACATAATACACGCATAATAGTTCTATATAGTTGACACACCACAATTTTTATTGTTTGCAACACATTTTAATTGTGAGGACATAATACACGCATAATAGTTCTATATAGTAGCTGCACGTAATTCTGTAAAATAAACGAAAAACTCAGCTCGTATATGGAAAAAATACTAACACTAATAATTTGTAAAGTATCAAACAAATTGTAATCCTGGATGACATGCAATGAACGGCAAGTTCTGGTAAATGCTTTTCAAATACACAAGAACACAAAGATGCAAGACCCCTAATTACTCAAATTACAATCATGTCGGCATAAGAGGAGAAACTATAACAGCACGTTCAGTAAAGAAAATTGGACAATAGTCAAGAATAAAAAGGAGTTCAAATCATGTTCACTATACAACAAGGTTACGTCTAGCGTTGCGCACCAAATATGCCCTCAAAGAATTATATGAAACAAAAAACTTGCAATCAAATTTTCATTCCTTTCCAGTTCTGATCAAGCAACGGAATCACTAGTGTAAAGAGTAGTTAGATATAAGAACACGCACGAACCAGAAGACAAATTCCAGATGAAGGTCCTGAGTTGGTGAGTTGGAGTGTTGGCCAATTATCTAGGAGAATTGACGTTGATTGACTATGCTTTCCTGGACTTCCTCCCTTCCATAATTGCTGCTTCAGCTTCATTCCTTGCGGTAGGATACTAGGCCCCATTTTTGTGAGAAATGTGTTTTGAAATAGACTTTTTTTGGAGGATATGTAGTTAAATTTGGAAAAATTGAGTTTTACGTGTAAAAATTACTTTATGAGAGAACGTGTGGTTGAAAATAAATCAAAAGAAATAAATCTCAAAAAAATGGGGCTCAAGCAGGGGCTAGATCAATTTGAAAATCCATGGGCTCGATTCTAAACATTAGAGCGCGTTTGGTGGGTATGGAAAATATCAACTAAAAAATAAAATATTTTCCTTGTTTTAAGGAAAAAAAAAACCTACTCCCTTCAAAGAAAATTAGACATATTTTCTAAAGTTGAAATTTTCAATAGAAAAAATAGCAGTTAAACACTTCAAATTAGAAATTTGGATAAAAAAACTAATATTTTCCTTCAAAAATAAATGCAATCAAATACATTCTTATTTATTCTCTTTCCCCGTAAACTCTATGTTTTAAAAAGTCGTACATAGGGATGCCAATTTGACTTGTCGGCTCAAGTTGCCCATGGTTCGGTACTGAAAAAAGCCCGAGCCGACCCTATTCGAGGCTCGGGCCGAGCTCGATCTAGCCCGTGCGACTCGTCGGCTCGGGCTCAAGGGCCTTAAAAGAAAAAAAGGGGGTTTAAGGCAATCAAGTGATGTCTTAAGGAGAAAAAAAAGTCGAGCCTACCCGACTTGGCTCAGAAAAAGACCAAGCTGAAAGTTGTGGTCGAGCTTAGATTTTTTGGTCGAACAAAAGCTCAACTCGACTCAAGCCCAAAGAAAGCTAGCGCTATTTTATTCGAGCTGAGCCCAAGCCTTGGGTTTCGATTTACAAACTGGTTCGACTCGACTTGTTGACATTCTTAGTCTTACCACAATGTTCACTATCCTGCAGAATTTAACCTTGACATATTATTCCAATTACTAGGCATCGGATTTGAAAATGACAATTCTTTCATTATGATGTTAACAACTACACGCCGACTCCTCTTCCATTACGATAAACTATTGACAAGCTCTTGTTCCGTGAGATAGTCTCAGCCTTGTTAACAGAAGTAAGGTAATCTCAGCCTTGCTGGCAGCCGCAGTATGAGGATTCGACTTCTGAAATATAGAATTGAACTCTTTGTGGGTATCAGTGTACGGGCAATCTCATGTTTCCTGGCTTGCTGGGGCACATCCCGCAATTTACCTCCCTCACGGTGTCCAGGAGACGGAGCAGTGAAGGCTCTTAAGATTGGGGTATAACCTTTTTTAGCTATTGACAAAATAAGGTACCTGTTGGGCAATGAAGAAGAAAATATAGGACTGCTTTATTTGCATTTAATGAAACTTCCAACTCTAGCTGGCAAGTTGGGAAATAATCGTGTCAGTTCAGAGTTGGGCAGAGTGTTTGTCATGTTCATTACATAACTTATATGTATAAATTTGTTGTTTAAACTTTTAAACGTGATAATTCAAATTTGTATCAAAACATACAAAGATACGTGGGTTCATGTCTCATTGTCACTCATCTATAAATAAATTGCTGCTTTGATTTCTTCAAAACATATGGAGACACTATTTCTAAGATAAATTGGTCGATCGAAAGAGAATAATAACTTTACCGGAGAAAAAAGGTCATTCTCTTCTCGTTTGCCATTAGGCATTGAGTTGACCTCTTCATTGTTATGCCACATCCAAGGTTTACTGGTGTACCTGAGTGCTTCGAGGCATAGCGTCAGTAATCCTATGTAGGCTTGCAAATTTATAAAATTTTATAAAAAGGAAGGAAAAGAATAAAATTAGACTTAATTTCAAGTTAACCACTCAACTTATAATTTATTAAATTTTCAATCACATATTTCATCAACTATTATCAAAAGCTTTTTCAAACGACCCTAAAAGAGTGCACCTTCATGGTAGCAAATCGTACATATGAATAGCCGTTAGTTAATCGCGTTACGAATTTTATTAATTTTTATAGTGATTATTAAATTTTTGGTTCATCTTAATATGTCTATTTTGTTATTACTCTCAATATTCTCCTTTAAGATGATAATATATTTGAATATATCAATCTTGAAATTTGAATGTCGTTTTGAGATTTAGAGAAATCAAACTACTCGTTTGAAATCATTTGTTTCCCATTCTTTAGCCATTAAAATAAAAAAATATGACCGTTATCCATCACATCAAACCAACAAATTTGAATTTTTATCTCTTGTGTGGAGCCCATAACGATTATATTTTTTATTCTCATTTTTATAAAAATAAGGAACAAACGCCCACTAAGATTTGAGATTTCATTTTAAAAAATTAACATTATTAAAAAACGTAACACAAGGCTCCGAACCTTTATTCATTGTTTATTTGTTTCCTCTTTAATGGATGTAATAGTTAACAATAATTTGGAAATAAAAATGTAAGTTAGTTGATCAAATTTAATTTGGACCAACAAGAAACATTCTTGGAAATTGAGAGACCTCCATTGAAAATTTCCTTGTATTATCTACGTGGCAAAGGTGTGAATTTTCGATTGCTCGCTGAATTTAGGTCTATATCTTTAATTGGTCACTGAAATTTAAAATGTCGAGTTTTGGTCACTGAACTTAGGTCAATGTTTTCGACTGCTCATTGAAATTTAAAATGTCGAGTTTTGACCTCTGAATTTTGGAATATGTCGTATGTTACTCACTAACATAGCTGTTAAACTTTGAAAAATATAGAGTTTACAATTAGTAATGTACAACATTTTTCAAAATTTGGTGAGTAATGTACAACATTTTTCAAAGTTCAGTAACCAAAACTCGACATTTTAAATTTCAGTGAGCAATCGAAAACATGGACCTATGTTCAGTGATCGAAACCCAATATTTTTCAAAGTTCAATTGTTAAAACTCGACATTTTGAACTTTAGTGAACAGTCAATGATATGAACCTATGTTTAGTGAGTCTCAAATTCAGGATCTTCCGCTTGCGAGAATTTCCTGAGAAACGAAGTCATAGGCGCGTAGGTTCAAGGCCAAACCGACTACTCCAAGAAAACTCATCGATAAACTGATTACTGGTCAAAATTCAATATTTTAAACTTCAATGACCAATCAAAGACATGCACTTAAATTCAGTCACATTGGAACAATTAAGTCCCTAACTAACCCAACGGAGGCTAAACAATTTAACCGTTATCACATAACCTGGACTCTCCCGGGATTCTAGAGAGAGAGAGAGAGATCGACAATGGCTGCGTTGAATATATTATCCCAGCCCCCAAGTCCATGGCAGCTAACGACAGCCTCCACTCTGCCATCTATCTGTAAATATAATATTAATATAAACACAATTTGTCAAAAATATGCTTCGTTATCTAATTCTATGTGTAAATGTGGAAGAACAACGGCAACTGCTAAATCGAAACTCTCGACGCTTCAAATGTTTCCCCAGCGACAGCATTTATCAGGTGATATACGAAGCTCTTTTTGGGGCTGGGCTGGGGTTTAAATTTTCGGTGCTCGTTTTGGATTATATTATATTTTTATTCTGATTATTCTGTATATTTTGGATGCAATTTTACGTTTGAATTAGTCTGGAGTTGCTATAGTAGATGTTGAATTTTGATTGTCACTTAATCTTCTTGCCAATATATCATTTTTCTTTTTGATTACACAGAAAGCATGACTCATCTGTGAGAAATGGTTAATGTAAAGAAAAAAATTAGGGATGTAACTCATACGACTTATGACAGCATTAAGGTTTGTTTAATTTGTATTTTTTTAAAGAAATTTGGATGCATTTTTTGTTTCTTATGTTGTTATACTGTTATTTGCTCTTTATTTTGGATTGAACTCTAGCTTCCTGCTCGCATCAAGAAAAGATAAAGACAAAAAATAACTTTTTTGAACAAAGCAGTTATCATTGAATTTTGGTTTTCTCTATGACATTGGAATAGATAACCTGTGGCAAATTGTGAGCTCTTATGTTAAAGAAGGGGACTTTAATCTGATGGATTAAGAAACCCTTTACATCTCAATTCAAAAGCCAGACAAATATTTGAGGAAGGTGAGAGAAGTCTGAAATCTTTTTCATGTGTACTGTTGAGATGATTAGCTAGCGTATCCCACCTGACCTGTTAAGTTGTCTGTGTATAGATTTAAAAGAAATGTCATTTGATCTCTCCAAAAATTATTAATCTGAGACAAGAACCATAGCCAGTTCCAGGACATTGTAGAACTTCAATTCAGGTTATAGTGGTTTAAGAGTCAGACATGAACTCTAGACACTAAGATCTATTGCTTGCTTCGAGCATGTTGTGTACAACGAATCATAGAAATTATATTGTTTGGCAAGTGTGAATTCTTACCCCAAAGTAGTACATATTAAACATTCTGCTTTAAAGATAAGAAAAATATTTGTGTTCTTTTTTTTATTTTTATTGATGCTGTCTGCAAACAGGTGACCATCATTTGGTTGTATGATTCCGGTCAAAATTTTTAATACGGGGCTATAATATCCTTCCTCCGGCCCTTTGCTGGTTTGAGTTGAAAACAAGGAAAATGCTTGCATCATGAATATTGGTTCTTCCCATTATTTTATTGTTTGTTCTCAGTCCCAAGAAAGTATTCTAATGTACATTGAGTTTTCTGCCCCTTCCCCATGAGTGTGAGTGGAGTCAGCAAGAGTGGAAGTAGCTATATATCTTGTACTCATGGGGTTATGCTGATTAGAGGCCTTAATTTCATATAGTTTCCAAAAATTTTTTGTTGAATTACTTCTTCTTTTACCTCAAAACACTATTATTTTTTGTCCAGGCAGTGGATGTTCATGGATGCAAGACAATTCGCCCTTTTACAATAATGTTACCAGTACCAATAATGGAAGGACACGAGGCCCCTTACATTCAGTTTTTCCTACAACACCTGCGCAAGTTTCCTCTGTGCAGGACCTTTTTGAATTTATATGCACAGGTCCCCTTGTAAACAAAACTAAACTTAACCCAGAGAAGGTGTCCGAGTCTATTGACAAGTGGATATTATATGGATCTCAACTTTGTAGACTATTTCAGCTCAATGAACTATTTTTAACCGAGCCTCAGAAAGTTCGAATCTACCATTACTACATTCCAGTCTTCATGTGGTGTGAACAAGAAATTTCTCATCATTATTCTATGTTTCAAGAAGGAGATGATATACCCCCTCTAGTGGTACATTTACATCGTTCAAATTATTTCTTGTTCTAGAGCATGTTTGTCTATGCTTTAAAGTAATTTAAACTTGTTTTTCAATAAGTTTTCCTTTAGCATATTGGAAAAGTTTCTTTTTTTACCTGTAACTAAAAATGTTACTTTTTTGAAAGGTAAAAATTACTTCCAAAATAGTTAACTACTTTTCTACTTTGACCAACAAAAATATTTTTTTGTATTATAGTTTTCTTATTCACTGTTAAAACTTTTTTAAACATAGTGGCTTAGCCCAACATCCTCCTACTCTATTTAATTTTTGCTGAAGTTGCTGATGATAGGTCTGGGCTGTTGCATATGTGGACTGATGAGGACATCTACTTTTTATTTATTTTTAGTAGGACTTTATTTATATTTTAGATTTTATTTATGTAATTGGGCTTGTGTTGGCCCAAGTCCATTCTACTTAGGGTTTTAGTCTTTACTATTTAAACCTAATTGCGATGTAATTTCATTAGTTTTGATGAGAATAATTTAGTGGTTTGTTGCCTATGGCTTCTCCTTCCTCTCCCTCCCCCTCTCCCCATGAATTTCTGATTCTTCTTCGATTTCTCCCCCCATTCTCTCCGGTTCTCCCCTCTTTCTTACTTCTTCTTTCTATTTTTAATTTGTCCTGCATCAAATTTGGTATCAGAGCCAAAATTTGGGTAATTTTTCATCCACAATCCAAAACTTTCTTCCTATCCCCTTCCCAAAAATTTGTGGAACAGCACAAACAAAAAAATTTGTTATGAGGCAGCAGTTTTCTTGTTCAATTTTCTTTCTAGTTGATTAGGAAAAAAAAAGAGTCACCGTTCACACCCGGAATTTCAGTTTTTTTTTTTAAAGATTTTTCAGCAGTTTCACAAAAAAAAAAGGTTACTATTCACACCCGAAATTTCATTTTTTTTATTTATCATTTTCTGCAGTTTCAAAAAAAAAAAAAAACAGTTTTAGAGTTTTAGGCGTTTGCTGCTGCTAAGTGTACTATTTCATATATTTCATCCCTAACAATCAAACCCTACTTACATTCAGCCTACATACAAGATCAGCCCACCTTACGTTAATCCAACCCTATAATAATCCATATATCCACATATAATTATTACCCGCGAGCCCATTTCTCTTATCAAGACATTTGGTCCATAAACTAGTGACCCAAATTACTCCAATCCCAGTTAAAACTCACTCTCATTTAATCCAATTCAAACCCAAAACCCATTTCTCCTTAGCCACTTGTCCAGATTAACCCACAGTCACCATACGTTCCACGACCACCCTCACCGCCAATCGCCAGCAACCCACTGCCACGCCAGTTGTCATCCACCACCTGGAGTTCAGTTTTTGCTTTAGTTTTCACGTTGATGGACTTCTTTTGAGTTCAGAGTGCCAAGGACATTTGTTGAATTGGATTTGCCCTATTATTTGCATTGGGGCAGCTTGTTAAAACTCTTGAGTATTAGTGTTCCATTCAGTGACTTGACTGCTTAGGAGTATTCCATTATAATTTTCTACTGGAGACGTGCCAACTGGGAAATCATAATTGGGCACAGTACTTATTCTTTGGGTTCCATCAGGTTTAGGGAGTGCTTGATTTATATTTGTCATTGGTTTACAATACTGCTTCATTTAAAATTGCATTAATTAAATTTTTGTGATGTTATTCTAACAATATACCTAAAGTCACGTGACTGAATCCATTGATTTCGTCAAAACTCTATTTTACCCCACTTATATTACATGATTAGGTTTTGACTAGTATTTGATTTGTGCTTTATTATTTTACATAGATCGGCAGTATTAGCTTGTCATATTTGAATTTACTTATCTCTGAAAAAAAATGCTTAATTTGTTATTTTTCACTGTTTGCATTTATTGTTCATTGATTTCATCATTGCACGTCATTTAGCTAGTATTACATTGCATGTAGTTGCGTAGTGGTCGTCTTGTTGTCTCTATTTCCAATACATTGACCATGGATCCATCCCAATTTGATGCACTCACTAGACAATTAACGCAACTTGCCACTAGCCTATCGACTGTCCAATCAGATATAACTGCTACTCGTGAGGAGAGAAAGAACCTAGCTGCTAAGTTGAACAATTTTAAGCGAACCCCTTGTTTGACTGACACTAATTCTGAAGCGTCTTATAATAGACAATATTATCGTGGACAAAGGGATCAAAAATATTTTCGACTCGATCGTAGGAATAGAGATCAGGTTTGTGAGCGAAAACAGGGCCATAGTCATTATGGTACTCATTCTCTTCCTCGTCGTAAGGAGCGTTTTTTTAGAGACATTGACTTAGATACTCCTACTTTCGATAGTTGCTTAGATCATGAAATTTTTACCCAATGGAACACCCTTACACAAGGGAATTGACTAGTAACTGTGTACATTGCTCAATTTGAGGAATTTCGAATGAAATGTTATGTCGTTGAGGATGAGACCCTGACTTTGAGTAGGTTTATACAAGATCTAAGAGATGAACTTAGGCGTGAACTTTTCTTTCGGTGCATCACTACTCTTGATCAAACTTACTCTTCAGCTCGGGATTACGAGTTACTTATTAGTACTCCATATGAAAAGCGCGACCACCATCATTCTCCCATGTCATTAGCGCCATCTCAACATGTGTCTGTCATAGAGACTTCCCCGTCTAGTGTTCCTCCTATTTGGAAAAATAAGTGTAAAGGTTGTGATAGTCCAAGGCCCCTTTCTCCTTATGGAAGGCATATTGACAACCATTCTTCCATCTCATTAGCTCCACCTCCTCCTGTTAAGTCTCTTCTAGAACCTTCCCCGTCTAATGTTTCTCAAATCTTGGAAAATAAGGGTAAAATTTTTGAAATTCCAGGGACTTCTTCTCACCTACTATACATCAGCTGTAAGGATTTTGGTCACATCTCTTCCAAATGTCCTAATCGAGCCTTAGTCATAGAAGAACGAAAAAATGTAATAGAAGAGTCGTTAGAAGATCCAGTGTACGAACCTAAACTTGAAGATTTTGATGATGATAGTGAGGACACCTCCTTAGGTGACACCTAAACTCTTCCTGAGACTCTAGATACTATATCCCATTATTTCAATAGTCACTTTTGGAGAACTCAGTCTCCTATGGTTAACACTAAATCGAAATTCTCCACTGCAGACCAACCTCATAGTCAAAATGAAGTCATTAACCAAAGTCCTAGCAATTTATTCAAACCTCTAGTCCAGAAAAATTTTGGGAATTGGGACTCGATCCCCCCAACTGTTCACATTGCATATAACAATTCTATGAATCGATCTCTAGGTCTAAATCCATTTGAAATTGTTCATAGTTATAAGTCTACGCGGCCGTTAGATCTTATTCCCATGTCCTCGCATGCTAGTGTGTCGTTGTCAGCTGAAGCATTTGTATATCATTTTCATGACTTGCATATTGAGATCAATAAACAACATGACGCAAGTAAACTTCAAGTTGATTCGCATAAATGATATTTTGAATTTAATATTGGGGATTATGTTATATTGCAAGCTTGTAGTGCTGGTCCTTTAAAAATTTTCAAGCATGTTGATTTAAATGCACATGTCATTGTCCTTTCATCACATTTTGACTACCAGTCTGCTTTAAATATTGAGGACTTCATTACTTACACCATGTTACTTCATTTGATGATCTATTTCTACTTAGCTTTATGGACCCCCAACTTGACTATATTGATATTTTTACTTCAATACCATCTATCATAGCACACAAAGATAAAATTGATGTTATTTTAGATGAACGTGTTGTATTGACCAATGATGGAAAGATTCCGTACTTCCTTGTTTGTTGGGTAGATCGACGTGCTTCTTATGCTCCTAATTATATACAATCATGTGAAAATCTTGAAGATGAGGTGCATGAGTATTGGTTATTTGGAGTCTAGTATCAGTACTTGGTTAGGAGGAAAGATCGCCCTCCCTTGGTCAGATCATATTCTTGGGAATAAGCTACAGTTTTCAGTACTATCAATCATGAAATTCGTTACTTAGTTTGTCAGAAAGATCGTCCCCCGTGGCTTAACGCATTTGGAGTATCAGATTGATTGCAGCCTATACTATCTATCAACTCGACAGGGTCGAGTTTTTCTCCCACTCCGGGAGAGTTGATGAGGACATCTACTTTTTATTTATTTTTAGTTGGACTTTATTTATATTTTAGATTTTATTTATGTAATTGAGCTTGTGTTGGCCCAAGTCCATTCTACTTAGGGTTTTAGTCTTTACTATTTAAACCTAATTGCGATGTAATTTCATTAGTTTTGATGAATTGAATAATATTTTGGTGGTTTGTTGCCTATAGTTTCTCCTTCCTCTCCTTCTCCTTCTCTCCCATGAATTTCTGATTCTTCTTCGGTTTCTCCCCCCATTCTTTCCGGTTCTCCCCTCTTTCTTGCTTCTTCTTTCTATTTTTAATTTGTCCTGCATCATGGACAGTGTTTTAAGATCCTGAAACACAATAGAAATTGCCGAAGCTGACATGGTTATTTACTTATAATAGATTTGATGCAGATTGGTTTCAGTGCACCACAAGGTTGTGGAAAAACGACGCTCGTCTTTGCACTAGATTTTCTCTTCCGAATGACCGGGAGGTAGAATACCAAATGGTGATGCTTGTTGAAATTAAGAGTCATCTCAATTGTTTAAATGAAACCATAAAAACTAAGAGAGGATACTGACACTTTAATCTCAGGAATTCTGCGACAATATCCATCGATGATTTTTATTTAACAGCAGAAGATCAGGTAAATAATCAGAAAGCAACCAAGTCTTACCTCATGTCTATGAATTTCCCACTGAGACGTAATGTAATACTGATTTCAGGCCAAACTAAGGGATAGCAATCCCAGGAATGCACTTTTGGAGGTATTTTTAACCCTTCTGAACAATTTGAGCATTTCGCTTGGAAGTTTTTTTTATTAGAGCAAAGATATAACTCTTTGACCTCTCAGTTTCGTGGTAATGCTGGAAGTCATGATCTTTCTCTGTCTATTGAGACTCTAACAGCTCTTGGGAAATTGACTAAAGAAGGTGTGCACATTGGTCATTTCCTGCTTATTTTTTAAAAACATATCATAGTGGCCTAACAAGGTTCATGGGTAAATACATATAGGTATGAAACTTAAGCTTCCACGATACGATAAGGTAAGCCACATGATAGCAGACTTACTGATTTTAGTCATGTTTGGGATTTGGAGTCCCTAATCTTCTAATTGCAGTCTGCATACAATGGTAGAGGTGACAGAGCTGATCCTTCCATGTGGCCAGAAGTTGAAGGGCCCCTAACGGTAGGTGGATTATTCTATTTATCGCTGGAATCAGTTTTTGTTCTATTTTTGCTCCGCAATCATCCTCTGATTGAATGAGGAAAACTATGCTAGGTGTGATACCCGGAACTGTTAGAATGTTAGGTCTACTGTTTTTCCTATTAAGTCAGTACTGAAATATAAATTTTTCGCTATCATGGTTGTTCTTTCGATGGTCAATGGTCATTAGGTTCTGTTGTTTGAGGGTTGGATGCTTGGTTTTAAACCCCTTCTGACTGAAGCTGTGAAAGCAGTTGATCCCCAGGTTCAAGTGTCACTTCTTTCTGCAAATTTTCCGTTTCACTATTTCATTCGAACAAAAGCCATTAAGCTAACTCCAAAACTTAATGTTGCAGCTAGAGAAGGTGAATAAAAATTTAGAAGCTTATTATGATGCATGGGACAGGTTTATCCACTCCTGGATAGTAATCAAGATTCAAGATCCCAGTTGTGTCTATCAATGGCGATTGCAGGTTTGTTGTGCTGATGCTATCCTTGTTCTAGCTTTTACAAGAGCATGTTTGGCTAGGCTATAAAATAAGATAAATGTTACTTTTAACCTTTCTCTTCCCAAAAACGATTGGATGACCTAAATAGAGTAAATTATTTCCAATTTTAGCCAATGAAAAGAAGTTATTTATTTATAAATCCCTTGTGTACTCGAGTGAATTTATATAAGCTTAGCAAAACATGCTATAGATTTTATTTCATTTGGCAATTATTTAACTGGTTGTGTGGGGTATCTTCAGGCAGAAATTGCTATGAGGGCTGATGGGAAGCCTGGAATGTCTGACGAGGAGGTGTATTTAGTATGCTTTCATAGACAGTATGGTTAATACTTGCAAAGTATCGTGACATACAGCTCCCGTTTGAGCCCCATTATTCCTAGATTATAATGAGATGAATAGTATTTTTTTGAAAAATGAGTGGTTGAAAAGTTTTTGATTTACGTGTAATATTATTTTATTGAAGATTGTGTGGTTAAAAGTAGGAGAGAGAAAAATTTAATTTAATGTAATGAGGAATAATGGGGGCCAAACACATGCACAATTTGACTCTCAAAATTAAATACTTTTTTTTCTTGGTCTTGTGATTATAGGTAATGGATTTTGTCTCACGATATTTGCCAGCATATAAGGCCTATCTCCCGACCCTGTACTCAGAAGGACCCAATGGTTCGAATCCCGAGCATTTGCTTGTCGTCGAAATTGATGAAGGCAGGAATCCCACTCTTGGCAATTAGGTAAGCATGAAACACAGGGCCATAAATTCATAGCGAAAAGAAGGAATATACGTACTGTTAAATGCTCGTTTATCCCTTATTGTGTTTTTTCATTGATACAGTCATTATCATGTAAAAGATACGAAGATTCAAGGTAGTAATGCCTATTTCACATGAAAATCTCCTTCCAAATTACGGAAAATGAAGGCATCACAATGCTTTAGCATTTGGTGAGGTGGATAGGATAATAATACTGGACAATGTGAGGGAAGAAAAAAAAAAAAAAAAAGAAGCCAAAATCTTGTCCATTCCAACATTCAGTCCTGTCAAGTACTGGGACCAAAGAGGCCCTTAATGTATTGACGACTGAAGAAGACAAAAGCATGAAAATTATTCTTGGAGACAGATTTCATTAAAATTGTTCATTCTTCTGGGATGAGCTAGCGCCTGGACAAAGCTATAAAATAAGAAACCTATGATTCATATTTCATGTTTATTATTTTTGTTTATTTGTACAGATAGCAAAAACTTATCCAATCAACAAATCTAGAGCCCGAGACTCCCCCCCATGCAATGAAATTAGGCACAGTTACAGAAGCAAATGTCCAAATAGCACTCGCAAGTCTTGAAACAACAAATGCAGAACGAACAAACTGCATCAAAGTAGTAAAAAAAAATATCTTCAAAACGAGAGAAAACGTTATCGCACAAATACTTCCTGCAATTTGCAAATCTTGTTCAGACCAAGCATTGAGGCAGCCTTACTTCTCATGTCGTCATTTCGTCAGCATATGGAGTCTATTGGTATGTCGGTCCATCCATGATTTTCTCTTTTTTAATTTTTCCTGTATTGAAATGCAAATACAAATGCCTATGCTATCTGATTATTTTAGCGCTTGAAGTAATGTGATTTTGCTTCTAAGCTAGGATTCTTTGTCTTTGGTATATGCTTTCATACATTACTCTGTTAGTATTGATGTTATATTCATGAAAATCTCTCTCTGAATTTTCTGAATTAGTTATAGGAAGATGTAGCAAATAGAAATTATATAACTTACCCAGTAAACATCACCATCCGATAGTTAAGGAGAGTGACCTTATAGACAATACTAGAAAGTATTTTGAGGGAGAAAGAAGTTAAAAAATTACCAGGTCCGATCAGGAAGTACGTTAGTTTACTGCCACTAAACTATCACATTTGATGCAGTACTCATACTGGAAATTACGATCAAGGATGTCATTGTACTTCTAGTCCTATCAAGTAACTCGTAGATTGCTCAATTTTTAACCGTAATTTTCTGTTAAACTAATAGAGATCATCAGATGTTCAAATTTACTCAAGCTGCTCAAATTTTACCAATATATAGGTTAACAAAATGTTGATCAAGCTTGATTTATCCTTTTGGCTTGTTTTGTTAGATTGAAGAAGTTTAAGCCTCCATTAAATTCTATTTCATTTTTCTTTCTCCTATTTCTAATCATACGATCTTCCATAAAATAATATTACACAAACCGAATACTTTTCCTTCTTTTTCAACCACTCATTTTTCAAAAAAAGGCTATTTCATCCATTTTGACTTCAAAAAATGGGGGTCAAACAGGGGCTAAATATTGTTTATTACACTGTTCAATACTCTCGATAAAGTATGCATTTTAAGGATAGTTCATAATATTATTATGCTTTTGTTTAAATCTCATTTGTATATTTGATTAGCTGATAAAGCTACTAATTACTTGAGAAGTTAACATTTATTTAACATTAAGATGAGAAATTCAATAAAAAGTTACATCTTTATTCAAAATAGATACAGATGTACTGCAATTCATTCAATATTTTGGAACTAAACTAACAAAAGGGATATGTAAAAATTATTTCAGGCTTTGACATTATGAAACCCCTTAAAGTTTAAATGCAGCAACAAGAAGCACTGTCCAAACAGCAGCATTCACAAGCCTCGGCACAGCAACAACAGCAACAAAATTCGAACAACCTGCAGTAAAACGAGTTAAAAATTTTAATTTACAAATACAACTAGCTAATTAGGAAGAGATACAAACCAAGCATAGAGGCATCCCTTTTCTTGACGACGTTTTTGGATGTGATCTGAATACGGCATGTTTTGATGTTCCGGTGCTTGTTTCATTTTTCCTTTCCGAGATTTTCTCTTGTTCTTAAACTTGAAGGCTACATTTATCTATATGATTTAAAGCAACGAGTTTGTAAGACCATATTTAATACACAGTTGTCAGTTGGCTGCAGCTCTACCTACAAAATAGCACCTAACACAACACATTTATTTAAGTAGGTTGAAATGGATTGGACTAACTTTTTCATCTTCCTACTATAAGAATGTGTGAGTGATTATGGGGAAACAAGAAGAGAAAAGGAAAGCAGGTTATGTCTAATGAGAATGAACTTAACACATATACTTGCTTTGTAAAAGTTTTACTCTTAATTCTTCTGTGTTACAAGAGAAACAAATACATAAAGAGGATCGTTCCTCTTACACATAGATTTGACAAGTATTTTTGACAAATAATCGTGACTTTTAATTTAAGCAAATATAACGGTCAATATGTATTTCACTAGGATCATGAGAGAGTTAGTTGTAACCATTTGAGATCCATGAGATACTAATCGTTGGATTTGATTAAATTAAAGGTCACGATTATTTGTCAAAAATACTTGTCAAATTCATGTGTAGAAAGAACGGTTCCCATACATAAAATACACAAGGACGGAGCCAGAATATTTTATTTGGGTGGACAAAAATTATATAGTAAAGAAAATATTTTTATAACCATTGATATAGGTTGGTAGAGGAAGCCACCATCGGCGACAAGCAAGATGGATCGTTGCACTTCGATGCAAGGCGACCGACTCTTAAGGGATGCTCTACCACTATCCCCAAGTGGTGCTCTACCACCGTGCACAGCCATCCCCCCCAGGGGTGCTCTACTACTACGCGAGGCCGTCGACCCCCAAGGGGCGCTCTACTACTACGTGAAGCCGTCGACCCCCCAAAGTCACCCTACCTCTATGCGAAGTCTTCAACTAGCGTGGAATTACCTGTACGATTATCTAAACACTTAGCCACAAAAACCTCTAGTGAATTGACTAGGTTCCATAGCGGTTAATACGAGCGCAAACTCCAAGCGGGAAGTTAAAGACCCCCCACTCAGCAAGTGGGGGTAGTGGGAATGCCAACGTGGGATACGTGGCACCACACCGCTTAGCGGTTATCCAGTTTTCAATATCTATAAATACCCCCCGATGTGATACAGGTAAGGGGATCTCTCTCTCTCTTTTTAGCCATCTGAATTCCAATTGCATTTTTTTCAAGTCTATAAACTAATTCTCACGCTAGAGGTAAAACGGGGGAGGAAGCTCCACCTTCCTTTTTCAGGTTACACACACTTGACGGAGTAGTCGGAACGCCAAATGCCACTAGGCAGATAGAAGGGTATTGTTCCGCCACCACTTCATTGGCGCCGTCCATGGGAAGCTCTTCCACTGAACACAAAGGTCATGTCGAGAAGACGAACAAGAAGTGACACACGTCTAAGAGCAGCAACGACAGATGCAGAATCAGAATTGGTCAGTAGAGGCCCCGATCCGTCGCCGCCGCCGCAGTATGTGATGCAAAGCCAGTTCAGTGCCCTAGAGACCCAGTTAGCGGCCATGATGACTCTCTTGCAGAATCAAACGCAGAGAGCCGCCCTCCCACCGTATTCGGCTGAGGCCCTACCTCTACCCCAGCAGGCGCACATAGAAACACCATCTGCCATCCAACCGGTGACCGCAGGCTCGAGGGCTCCAGGGATGACGGTCTTGCAGTCCGTCCCACCCTTAGCGGATCTGGAGCGGAGAATGGAGGAGATCATGACGAAGAAAATTGATGATGCGATATCTAAAAGAAAAGACAAGCGCAGGTAGATGGTCCTAGAAGAGGACCCGTTCGCGCCCGAAATCATGGCGGTCCCTTTACCTAAAGGCTTTAAGCAACCTATGATAGAGGCTTACGACGGGGTTACAGATCCGCTTGGCCATCTGCGGACCTTCGTTGATCTGATGAGACTCTATGCAGTACCTGATGCGGTAATGTGCCGGTATTTTTCCCCGACTCTCAGGAGGGAAGCCAGAGACTGGGTGGCAACACTTGCCCCCCAGTCTATCCGAACATTTGATGAACTTTTCAGAAGCTTTGTAGCCTACTTCCTGAGTAGCAAGAGAAAGAGGAGGACAGCCATTGGACTGATGCAAGTGGTCCAGGAGAAAGATGAATCTCTGCAGGAATATTTGGCCAGATTGAGCCGTGCGACCCTTGGAATAGAGGACCTTCAGATATCGGCAATGGTAACTGCGTTAATGAATGGAACTCGGAACCGAGCTTTTAAGATGTCACTTTCCAAGAACTCCCCAAAATCAATGCACGACTTATTAAAAAATGAGACAAGTATGTTGATGTTGAGGAGGCGAAGAAGGTCACAAAGAACCTCAGAGAGGGGTGGGAAGTAGAAAGTCACGAGCGCAATTAGGGGGATGAGCTAAGACCTGCCAAAAAAATAGGCCAAGAAGTGAGCAGATGGTTAAAGGGGCCACCCAAGACTGGCCAGCCAGGCATAAACGAGAGGAGTCCATGGCGTTCACCCCTTTGAACACCCCACGTGCCAAACTATTGATGGAAATACGAGACATGAAAGAGCTAGAATGGCCGAGACCAACGGTAACGCCAGCAGGTAAAAGAAACTAGGGCAGATGTTGTCATTTCCATAAGGATCACTAACATGATACTGAAGAGTGCCTGCAACTGAAAGAGGAGATCGAGCGCCTCCTAAGGTGGGGTCTCCTGAGCAAGTATGTGAAGGACAACTGGGGGAAGCAAAAGATGGAGGACCGTCCCCCACCTAGGGTCGGAGTGATAAACATGATTACAGGAGGGTTAGCAGGAGGGAGAGATTCAAATTCGACTAGGAAAAGCTACGCATGCTCTCTCGGGATTTGCTCCATCCAAAAGAAGGCAAGGTTCAGTCAGAGCATCACCTTTGGCGAGGAAGACTTGGTAGGCGTGGCGCATCCCCATGATGATGCCCTAGTAATAGTAGGTGACATAGCTGATTTTGACGTCAAAAGAGTATTGGTCGACGGGGAAAGTGCCGCAAATGTACTCACCTGGGACGCGTTTTTAGGCCTGAAGGTCCCACCTGACAAGTTAAAAATTGTGAACACCCCCTTGCAAGGCTTTGGATGAGCCACGGTGATTCCAGAAGGTACTGTGGAGCTCCCGGTCATTCTAGGCACATATCCAACCACTGTGGTAATTGTGGCAAGCTTTTTGGTCATTAAGAACCCCATGGCCTATAATGCAATCTACGATCGGCCGTTGCTCAACGCAGCTGGGGCCATCCCCTCGACCTATCACCAGGTTCTGAAATTCCCAACCAGCAGGGGAGTCGGGTATGTGCAGGAGGGTCAGCAAGCATCCAGGAAATATTATGTTGATAGTATATCACTCAAAAGAGCCCATCAATCATGATGTTAGAAGTCGAACTTTCGAGAGGGCGGATTGAGCCACTTAACATGATCGGAAAGATTTCCATAATGGAAGGCCGGGAGGTCAGCACTCTAACGAAAAAGGGAAGTTGGTGAGGTGCTTAACAGACAACCTAGACGTCTTTGCATGGAGCCCAAGTGATATCACTGGGGTCAGTCCAGCATTTGCTCAGCATCGCCTCAGAGTTCTTTCATCCGAGAGGTACGGTACCCCGAATGGTTAGCCAATATTGTGCTAGTAAAAAAGTCAAATGGGAAGTGGCGCATGTGCGTAGATTACATTGGATTAAATAAGGCATGCCCTAAAGACTCATACCCGCTCCCAGGGATAGACCACCTCGTCGACGCCACGTCGGGTCACGAGAGGCTCAGCTTCCTAGATGTTTTCTCGGGCTATCATCAAATCTCTATGGCTAAGTGCGACCAAGAGAAGACATCGTTCATCACAGATTCTGGAACCTACTGTTACACTGTCATGTCTTTCAGTTTGAAGAATGCAGGGACAACTTACCAGAGGATGGTGAATAGGGTCTTCCAGGAGTTGATTGGAAATGTCATAGAGGTCTACGTCGACGATATGGTGGTAAAAAGTATTAAGGCCATCGACCACGTGGCCTTCCTGCAGAGAGTGTTCGACATAGCTCGACAGAATAATTTGAAATTCAATCCCGAGAAATGTGTTTTTGGTACATCCGTTGGAAGGTTCTTAGGTTTTATGATCACCCAGCGAGGTATTGAGGCGAATCCCAACAAGATACAGGCAATACTTGAAATGAAAAGCCCCACTAGTAGGAAGGAGGTCCAGCAGCTGACAGAGCGTGTGGCAGCCCTTAACCGTTTTATGAGTCGGGTAGCGGATAAGTGCTACCATTTCTTTAAAGCCATTGGGGGCTCTACAAATTTTGAGTGGACTTAAAAATGCGAGGAGTCGCTGGAATCCTTGAAAAGGTCACTCCAGCAGCCTCCCATATTGACCAGCCCATGCCCTGGGGACGTACTATGTCTCTACCTCGCAGTGTCGCTACAGTAGTTCTCGTAAAGGAATTCCCAAAGGCACAGAAATCAGTCTACTGTGTCAGTCAAGTCCTCAAAGGCGCAAAGACAAGGTACAGTCTGGCCGAACAACTGGTGCTCGCATTGATCGTTGTGGTCAAAAAATTCAAGCCTTACTTTCAGTCCCATATGGTACAAGTGATGACTGACCAACCCATCAAGTAGATCCTACATCGACCAGAGACATCCGGAAGACTGCTGAGATGGGCAATTGAAATGAATGAATTTGACATTGAAATCAAGCCAAGAACCGCCATCAAAGCGCAGGCTCTGGCAGACTTCATTGCTGAGCTTACCACCCCAGCAGAACCCCCAGAAGGGCAAAAGACAGATTTAAACGTTTTTGTGGACGGTTCTTCAAATACGGAAGGATCAGGGGTAGGAATCATAATGATTGGGCCAGACTCCGAGGAATTGGAATACTTACTGCGCTTCGAGTTCCCCATCACTAACAACGATACTGAGTATAAAGCAGTAATCATAGGCCTAGGTTTGGTAGCTAGGCTGGGGGTGTTTTCGGTAGAGGTTTGCAGTGACTCGCAGCTAATAATTGGACAGGTTTCGGGGGAGTATAAGGCTAAGGATGGGAAGATGGCAGCCTACCTGATGAAAGTAAGGGATCTGCAAAGGGGGTTCACAAGCTTCAGGATGGCAAAGGTCCTACGAAAGGAAAATGAGCGGGCAGACGTGCTAGCGAAACTCGCATCGGCAAACCCAAGAAATCTGCCGTGAATAGCGAACGTGCAAGTTTTACAACAACCCAGCATCCAACGCTGGGTCGAGGTGAAAAATATTGAGTACGAGGAAAGCTGGATGGATCCGTTAATTAAATATCTCACAGAAAATAAAACATCGAAAGATCCCTTTGAAGCAAGGAGGTTGAGAGCTCGGGCAATCTCATTCACCATCATGATGGGCAACTTTACAAGCGGGGTTTCACCGTGTCATATCTAAAGTGCATACGACCCTTGGAAGCTAAAGAGATACTGTTTGAGGTACATGTTGGGACTTGTGGTAACTATCAAGAGGCAACATCCCTTGCTTTCAAAATTCTACGGCAAGGTTACTATTGGCCAACCATGAAAAAAGATGCCAAAGAATTAGTAAGAAAGTGTGACACTTGTCAATGACACGGAAATTTGATCTACGTCCCAGTCGAGCAACGGGCAGCCATTTTTTGGGTGTGCCCATTTTTTCAGTGGGGGATGGATATTTTAGGGCCTTTACCTTTAGCCAAGGGGTAAAGGAAGTTTTTGTTGGTCGCTATCGACTACTTCACCAAGTGGGTAGAGGCAGAACCACTTGCGACCATCACGACCGCAAAAGTACAGGGTTTTGTATGGAAAAATATAATATGCCGATTCGGGATACCCAGGGTAATGGTGGCAGATAACGACAGGTAATTTGACAATCATAGCTTCAAGGCTTTTTGTGCAAGTTATCACATCAACCATAGACTGACTTCGGTCGCTCACCCACAATCGAACGGGCAAGTTGAAGTGACCAACCAAGTCATTCTCTGGGATCTGAAGACCAGATTGGAAAAGGAGAAGGGGCTTTGGACAGATGAGCTTCCCAATGTGCTGTGGGCGTACCACACAACTTCACGAGAGCCGACCGGGGAGACACCATTCAGACTAACCTTCGGGATGGAAGTCATAGTCCCAGTTGAAATTTTGAGTGAGACAGGTAGGATGAAAGTTAGACAGCCCGATGACACCATGACCAGAGGATAACTCAACCTACTAGAAGAGGTAAAGGAGAAGGCGGTAATAAAGATGATGGCCTATACGCAGAGAGCCACCGAATACTTCAATCGGAGAGTGAAACCAAGAATCTTTCAACCAGGGGACCTCGTGTTAAGAGACGCGGCAGCAGCAAGGCATCCCCAACAAAACTCTGACCAAATTGGGAAGGCCCATATGAAGTGATCCACAGCCTAGGAAAGGGGGCTTACAGCTTGAAAGACATGAAGGGACGATCACTGGGTAAACCGTGAAATGTAGAGCATCTCAAAAAATACTACCAGTAGATTTTAGAATAGACGCATGGGATACATTTTTGTAAATACAGTAGATAGATTGCCTTGTTAATTCTCTCTATGTAATGCCTCACGAAGGCACCCTTAGTTGCTTTTGTTTATTCAATAAAAAACCTTGGTAGTAGCAAGTGATGAGGGCGCTAAGGAAGGGCCAGCCTAGTTGGGACGTCCCGGTGTGCCTACTGAGCTCACGAATCCAAGTATTTTTATATACCGATATGCAGTCTCAAACTCCCCCTCATCCCATGAAGACATACGATCGACATAGTTTACGCGGCTAGGCGGAGAGCCTAACAAGCCAAAAATTGGCTAAGGCCCTTAACCGCTAGACCCCTCTCCCGACGGTCGATATAGCCTACGTGGTTAGGCAGAGAGCCTTAACAAGCCAAAAATTGACTGAGGTCTTTAATCGCTAGACCCCTCTCCCGACGATCGACATAACCTACGTGGTTAGGCAGAGAATCTTAACAAGCCAAAAATTGGTTAAGGCTCTTAACCGCTAGACCCCTCTTCCGACGATCGACATAGCTTACGCGGCTAGGCACGGGGAAACATAAGGCTAAAATTGGCTAGGGCCATCGGCCACTGAACTCTAGCCCGATAAAAAGCTACTCCCCCGCACCATCAAACAATGAAAGGAAAAAGAAGAGGGACGACATGAGAGACGGCAAGTTGAAAGAACAATGCACTCAACACTAATAATAGCAAACGAAAAATGTACTTGTACATATGAGAAACTCTTGCCCACATCCTGGACAAGTAGGAGATAATGAGACTAAACAAAAGTAAACACGAAAAAGGAAAAGCTAGCAAAGGGAACAACAACTAAGAAATGCTTCAGCTCGAAGGGGAGACATCCCCACTACCACCTTGTGATAAACGTCCAAGCGACCTGGATGACTATGCTCCACTCTCCTTCCCATCGCGCTGCACAAGAAATCTATCTAGACCAGAGGGGTCTATAGAAGGATGCTTGACCATAATCCACTCCTTGGAGAGTTTGATAGACGCTGTCATCGCCTTCCCCCCATATGAATTCAAAGCCTTAGCATAATCGGACGACGTCTTATACTGCTCCACAGATACCTCGAGATCTCTGGCATACTCAGCTGAGGCCTTAGACCTCTCAATTGCCTCTTCCGGAGCGTGAGCCAAAATAGAACGCAAGTTGTTATTCTCCGTCTCCTGCTCGTGAGCTCGAGCATCCAACGTCTCCAGAGATTTCTTCAAGGAGGATATCTTTTTCTTGTAATGATGAGCCTCCTTTTTCTTTTCTTCAGTAAGAGTCTTCAACTCCGAGGCCAGGCGATGATTCGATTCAGCGAGTCCAGTCTGGAGAGCTACCACCTAAGAAATGAGGAGGTAAGATAAAAGTTAAGCGTTAAAACCAAGCTTAAAAGGTAAGACCCAACATAAAAAAAATGCGAAATTGGAAACGTACCCTCTGGAGATAAACAGCCGTAGCCCTTTCAATGTCGTCTGCACTACACCCTGCAATTGCTTTAGATCGAGTGGACGTCAGCAAAGACTTGAGCACCCCCATCTCATGATAGCCCCGGGTGGGGGGAAACCCGAAGTTGGGAAGTGAATCATCGCGCTCACACTGTGCACGGCTGGAAGCACCCGGCCTAGGAGCTGGAGCCACCTCACGAGGCTCGTCTTGAGGCTGGGAGGTCTCATTGATTGCCCGAGACCTCCCTTTTGATCAGCCGCCCTCCTTCTCTTTGAAGGGATAGGTGATGGATCCGCCCATCCCCCTGCCCCTGGTTGGGTATGGAATCCATGATCCCTTCAAGATCAAGCTCTGCCCCTGCACATATAAGTTAGAATCCGTTAAGATCGTAAGGTAGAAGAGCATGAGGATACAAAAAAAATGGAGGTGAACACAAAAGCTTACCATCAATGGGAGCAGGGCCCTCATCGCCTTCTGGCAGTGTCTTCAATACCTCATCAAGATCAAAGTCCATATCTGTATGCACACACCCAAACTCATTAGTCCCGAAAAACTAAAAGCAAAAAATAATAAGTGAATGTGTGTTTATGCGATAAAAAAAATCGACAGAAACAACCTACTAGTAAGACGACTCATCCCCACTATCAACATGTTCTTCATGGTCAAGACTGATCCTAAGTCAGGTGCGAGAGGCGGTACATCAACCAACTCTTGGATTTGAGCTTTTAGAAAGGGGATAACTTCTACTTGATTATTGGAGGGACAAATTTTGGGGTGTCGCCAATTGGTGTTGAAAGAGAACCGACCCGCTGAAGGCTGGACGAAGAAGAATCAGGATTTCCATCCGCTATTCAAATTTCTAAATTTAGGAAATTGCAAAGGAACTCTGGTTGTAAAATAGACGAATGCATTACATTGAACTAGCTCATGTATTTCAAAGACACACCTGAAAATGTCTATGGAAAGTGATATTTTCCTTTTGAGACAAACTTATAGGAAATATAACGCCTTTCTCCAAGCGTTGGGATTAATTTGACTAGGAGTAAGGTGAAACTCATTGAAAATCGACACAAAAAAGGGATGAATGGGGAACTGAAAACCCCCGTCCATAACAGCCTTGTACACGGCTACCTCGCGGGGTCAGACCCAGGGAGTCTTTCTTTAGGACCGGGGGCTCTATAGATGTAATCATCAACTCAGTCATACTTACCTAGACATTTTTCCAACTTAAGTGGGAAATTGTAGAGACTATAACTTTTTGGGATATCTAGGGAGACAACCTCACCAGCCGGGTCTTGCCCAATTTCTAAATTTTGGTTCGAAAATTTGGTAGAACTAATATGCCTCTTTAGGGAATTTGGGACAAACCCCTGAGAATCGATTGAATGAGTTTCACTATCAATGTCATAAAGAGATCTACCGGGCGAAGGGGGCGAGTTACTAATGAGTCAGGTTGAAGGGCCGAATAGGCTACGAAGCTCAGGAAAAGTCAGGGGACGGCCAGCCCAAAGGTTGGCCGTCGCTCGACCAGTCCTATGGCTGGTCGACAATAGTCGACAGCTGGTCAATCATGTCGACCAACCATGGGGCCAACCCTGCTGGTCACCGGTCGGCCCCCCGTAGGCTGGTCGGACCCCCTCCGATACCCTTCGACGAAAGTCCGGTCGAGTCACCACACCCCCCATCATTATTCTCATTGGAAGGAGAAGAAAGAAATGTCTTATACATGGCAACAAAAAAAGATGAAGATAACAAATTCAAAGCAAGACTTTGGATTAAAAAGGAGAGAAAATTACCTTAGGAAGGAGAAAGCCTAGGATGTTGTGAGAAAATGAGAGTGATTGTTTGAAGTAGAAATCATCTCCCTTTTATAGACACAAGAATTCAAACTTTTTTGGGGGAAAAATTCCCTCCAACATTAGGACCATTGATGGGGTGCCATGTATACAGTAAAATTGCTACTTGATTTCAATTGCATTGCTCGACTTGCTAATACGAACTACTCATTTATCATTTAAAAAAAAAATTCAAATCAAACCGGATAAAGAAAATTGCTACCCCTTGCCGATAACATTGACAAGGGGTAAGGAGGCTAATGATATAGGTTGTTAGAGGAAGCTACCCTCGACGACAAGCAAGATGGATCGTTGCACTTCGTTGTAAGGCCACCGACCCTTAAGGGATGCTCTACCACTATCCTCAAGTGGTGCTCTACCACCGTGCACGGCCATCCCCCCAGGGGCGCTCTATTACTACGCGAGGCCATCGACCCCCCTCCAGGGGCGCTCTACCACTACCCCCAGGGGCGCTCTACTATTCGAGGCCGTCGACCCCCCCAAGGTCGCTCTACCTCTACGCGAAGTCTTCAACTGACATGGAATTACCTATACGATTATCCAAATACTTAGCCACAAAACCTCTAGTGAATTGACTAGATTCCATGGCGGTTAATACAGGCGCAACCTCCAAGCAGGAAGTTAAAGATCCCCCACTCAGCACGTGGGGGTAGTGGGAATGCCAACGTGGGACACATAGCACCACGACCGCCCAGCGGTTATCCAATTTCCAATATCTATAAATACCCCCGGATGTGATACAGGTAAAGGGATCTCTCTCTCTCTCTCTCTCTTTTTAGCCATCTGAATTCCAATTGCATTTTTTCCAAGTCTATAAACTAATTCTCACGCCGGAGGTAAAACGAGAGAGGAAGCCCCGCCTTCGTTTTTCAAGTTACACACACTTGACGGAGTAGTCGGAACGCCACCAGGCAGATAGAAGGGTATTGTTCCGCCACCAACCACGCAGCCCAAATTTTATTTTGTCCTTTCCGGTACACCAGATAAAATCAAAACGATATGGTGTAGATTTGCAAAGATGTTGCGAGTTGCGACAGGTCCGAAATAATAACAAAGAAACGAACTACGAGCTACTATTCAGCTAATGCTTTCACATTTATGCATGCCAAAAATTGTATGTTAACACAGCACAATTATGCAGTAATATGAGCAGTTCAAGACAAGGAGAATGAGGCATACAAAAAACTTCAATATGACTAATACAAAGAATCACATCAAAGAACTCTTAAACTCCCATCCAATAGTATCCTGTTTCATTAAACACACATCAAATATGTAGTTGAGTATAAAGAAAAAATGGTTCAAAAAGGTGAATACTAAAGTGCATTTCAACTTGGCTTATAAAAATGAATTTTCAGATTAACAAAGAATCACATATTATCGACTTACAATTTGGGATTTAATTGTTTACCATATTATGCATTTTCTAAAACACATAATGTGCAACTTACTGGGCATTAACAAAAAGAAAATTTTATGAAACAAGCATCAACTTCAACAACCCAATGCAAGGAAATTTGACAGGAAAAGGGAAAAAAAAAACTTATCAGAAAGTTTGGACCACCCTTTCCCTTATGTGGCTCTACCCCTGAACATACACCAAATTAGTGGACAACCTTTGCCCATGTGTGGCTCTGCCATTTGAACATACAGCAAATTAATAATGAACAAAATCGATCAATAACATGATAGAGGATAGAGCTCAGATAACAATTGTTGGTTGTGGTAAGATCGTCGGAATCCTAATATCCTATTAGTGTATGAGTAGAAAAGAGATTCGATATGCTTTTTATTTGGCTAAGTTGGAGTTAATTGCTCCAATGGTCACGGAACTTAGGTCCATGTATTTGATTGGTCACTGAAATTTAAAATGTCGAGTTTTGGTTACTGAATTTAGGTCAATGTCTTTGATTGCTTACTGAAATTTAAAATATCGAGTTGACCACTGAACTTTGAAAAATGTTGTACATTACTCACTGAACTTTGAAAAATACTGTACATTACTCACTGTAAATTAGATATTTTTCAAAATTCAACAGTTATGTTAGTAAGTAACGTACGACATATTCCAAAGTATAGTGGTCAAAACTCGATATTTTAAATTTCAATGAGCAATCTAAGAAATGGACCTAAGTTCAGTGAGCAATCAAAAACATTGACCTAAGTTCAGTGACAAAAAGTCAACATTTTAAATTTTAGTGACCAATCAAAAACATTGACCAAAGTTCAGGGACCATTGAAACAATTAACTCGCCAAGTTGAGGTCTCAAAGACTTTTGGTTGTTTTTTATGTAAACGACAAGATGGGTAGACAGTTGTGTGACTTGTGTCTTTGGAAATCGGTGATCACAACTGCAATGAATTTTTCTGTTCTCGTAGCATTAGGATTAAAGATTTTGCATTTGTACGAGACGCAAACAACGTTAAGCCCTTTCTGTTGTAGCTAAAAATTAAATTTTGATAAATTTGATGAAATGCGTGATTGAAAAGTTGAAGATCATGAAATATGATTAAAATTAATCGATAACATTAACTTAGATTTTCATCAATTTTTTAAATGCTAAACATGTTTATAATAAGAAAGGGAAAAGGGAAGGATTTAGAAAAAGTTATTGTAGTACGCTAGCATATTGTACACGTTTTCCCTTTGGATGCTTTTTCTTTCACAGCTGTTCCGTAAATGCATTATCAAAAAGTACAAGGTACTAACAGTGGGCAATAATACAAATGGAATCACATGTGCCAACGAACACTGATAAGTGATAAGTAATAGCCCTAATCAATGTCCAAGGCTGCTATGTAGTGGATCAGAAAAGAGAGAGATTCTAGTTGAAAGATATCTACTGAAATCGTCATAAATATTTTAATTATTTTAGTGAAAATCGTTCGTATTATTGAAATATTTTTCATTGTAATTACTCTTTTATTTTATTTTATTTTATTTTATTATTTTTTTTTTTTTTGATAACCCAGGTGTCCCAGCTTAGCCGAACTAAATCCTGGACCTCTAGCCCCCGGCCCCTCAGTGACTAGTGGAGGTAAATCGCAGGTTGTGCCCTTGTTGGTTCCCAGGTTCCCACATGGCTTTTACTCCTTCCCCAAAGGGACCCTCCTCCATGGTCTACCAAACTAGTTTCTATATTACTTCTCAAGGATAAACATTTTAAAGGTTTGTTTGAATCATATTATTTTCAAAAAAAATATATTTTTCAATGGTAATTTGATATCATTTTAATTATACATTTTCAGTAAAATAATATTACACGCAAATCTAAAACTTTTCCTTATTTTTTAACCATACATTTCCTATCGATTTGACATGAATAATAAATGTGACTCAAACATGGCCTAAATCATACTCACCCCAATATGCTAACTAAGAAATGAGAAATGAACGAAGAGGATAAAATGCAGAAGCAGTGAATCTGATGAGTTGGTATAGCAAGAGACTACCAAAACTATAGTGGCATGTTTAGTATGCCTGGCTGTATGACATAAAATGATTAAAAAAGAATAATTTTATTTATTGTCATGTGCAGTGTTGTCCAATATGCGATTTTCTTCGTTAATTTTTTATATTGGTGGATCCCACCCATAACCGAACAGAAAAGGACACAACCAACAAGAAGAATATAAAGCCTATAGGATCATTATATCAAATCAACTATGATCAACAGGCAGGATGCAATAACCTTGAGCCAATATTAACTCATCGAAGAACGCGAGAAAAGTAAACCAAGTGCACGGAAGAAATAGCACTCAAGGACAATTCAAAGTTATTTTATTGCTCCAATAAATGGATTGAGCTATGTATATCGTGTACACAGAGCATTATCCCCAATAAATACACGCTAAGAAATATGATATTACAATCCAATCTCTTGAGAATGATCGACTATACCACAACATACAACAAATACAGACGAAACAATATGAATATTACAATAATGAAGATCAACTAGATCCACAGACTGTTCGGAGATAAACGTACCGAAAAAACCAAGTGAAGAATGGGATCAGCTAAGTGATGCCTCATTTCAGGTCGTCCACCTTCTTCTCTGCGCTCTTCTTGTACTCCTCCAATTCATTCAACCACAAATCCCCAAATTGATAATCCTTCCACTTCTCGAACCAGGGCCCTCCAAGCGTATAATGTATAGCCTTAGGGTATGTTTCGGGATCACCCTCGACAACCGCATTATGCCCCACAAGAAAATTCCAGACAAATGGTATTTCCCCAATCTCATTATCCTCCAACCATTGAAACCTATGCAGGAATGCCCCCGTCTCCTTATTCACTACCTCTGGTGTTAGCATCCGGTTTTTTGGGTGCCCACAATTGTACAGAACCATAGATGACCAATTCTTTCTTGGGTACACAGTCTGAATTGCTCCATCCATTTTGGTGGCCTCTTTAGGCGTGTAATCATGGTGGACACACATTATTGCATACTTATCATCAATCAGATCAAATAATTCCTTAATATCACCTAAATACAAGAAATCACAATCCACAAAAATGGCCCAACCAATGTAATTCGCCAAATGTGGGGTTAGGAATCTCGAGAAAGAAAATTCAGTGCTCTCTAAATTCCCCCTTTCCCGCCAGTAAATCCCCTTTTGGCGCAATTCACATTGCTTAATGGGGAAAATCTCAATTGGGATTGAGGTTCTTTTCAGTATGGAGTAGCGACAAACCTCATATGCAACGTCCTCCCGCGAATCATAACCTATAAAAATCTTAAAGGATTTCGCGTTTGAATTGAACCCATATTGGCGATTTCCATTTCCATTTAAATACGTGCCCTCAGACATAATTTCAACAAAAAATATTTCCTCCTGCAGGAACCGTAAAATGAAACCCCCAAAAAAAAAAACCCAGAGATTAAATTTAAGAAAAGGAGAATATTCTATATAATGCAAAAATATGCAAATGTGAAATGTACCTTGATAAAACAGAACCAGATAGAACTATGAATGAAGGAAAAAAGTGAAGAGAGATTTCCTTAATGTGGAAGAAAAGGATTCAGGGATTTAATAGTCTGGAATTTCTTCTTTTTTCCTATTTTTCTTTTTTCTTTTTTCTTTTTTCTTTTTTCTTCTGGATTTTAATGTTGGTGTAGGGATTGAAAGCATTTGGATCACTGATTTTTTACACAAATCACATAGATATTTATGGAATAATAATTCTTTCCGTTCTGTCGGTGCGGCGGTAATTTGCATGCTTTTGTAAATTTGAAATGCTATTGATATGAATGGAAGATAGTTTTATTTTATTCCTGTTTGATCTCATAATTTGAAAATTTAAAACGTCATCAAGTTTATTTTAAAATATAAGTTTTTCGATAAAATAATTTTACATGTATAACAACTCATTCATTCTCCATAAAATATCATTAAAGAACTCTTTTTTTTTTTTAAACAAAAAAAATAGAGCTCAAACAGAAGCTAAATTATTCAAGGGTGGAAAATTAATGAAATTTGTCATAAATTAATCATTATTTAGATGTGAGACCCGTGTCCTTGATATCCTAATTATAACTTATAAATACACGGATTTTGATTCTTGCTTTTCACCTTGGTTTATATGCGTTAATAAAACAAGGGAAAATTGTAGTTGAGGTAATAAACCTTTCGTTTATTAGCAGATTTGATCCAAACGCTTCATTTGTATCATCGGAGGTACCAAACTTTTAAAAAATTCGCACCTATAGTCCAAATTGATAGAAACAATTAGTTTGACTGTTATTGACCAAAAATCAAAGGCCTAACCAACTGTTAATTGATTTTTAAAGGAACAAATGTGTAATTTTACATTTTCATATAAAAAGTTAAAATAAAAGAATTAATTAAAAAGAAACGGTCATCTTCTCCACCCACCCCACTTCCAGAACCAAAAATCGGGTATTTGTCGATAAAATCAAAAATTGAAATCTTGTTGATTTCCTCGTCCTTGCTGCAAGCTTCACCGGAATCTCAAAAGGGTTTTGCTAGGAGTAATAATATATGTTACGTAAGGATGTCTCCGCTCTCACATGGAGGGACCCGCATGAATAAAAAATCGAATTTATTTCATATCCAAGGGCTAATTAAAACTCAATCATAATATCTTCCCTTCCCCCCCCCCCCCCCCCACCCATGTGAGAGGGGGACACCCTTATGTAACCCATATTATCTACCACTAGATAAATTCATCTCAAAAACTGTTTTCAAACTCTGCAACTCATTTTCCTTAATCTCCAAAAAACCTCCAATCACCAAAACATGCTGCATCCACTTCTTCATTTGCCCCGTTAAACCTCCAGTCACCATCTCCACTGCTATCCAACACTAATTTTCCTCACTCTCAAAAAACTATTAGTAAAAGCTGGAAGAAAGAAAATGAAAAACCTCTTTGCCAATCGATAAAAACCCATCGAGTACCCAGTTCATTTGTGTGGACTGGTACTTCGGCTGCAATTTTTCCATAAAAAAATAAAACTCTCAAGTGATATGAACTTTTTATACGGTCACATGTCCTCACATGCAAAAATATTTGAAATAACACATATTTTAACGAGGATACTTGTCAATTCAATGATATTTCTATCATCGAGGATCAATGTGTAACGGACCATAACAAAAATTAAATTAATATTGCTGCTTAGATTTATGATCAAAATTGCCTATTAAGTGCTTGTATGGAAGTGATTTTTTGAAAATTATTTAGATATATTTTTTTTCTCCTTTTTCCATAGTTTTTTCCTACCTTTTAATTACACATTTTCCAAGGTTTTTTTTTTTTTTTTCCAAATAATCTTTCCAAAACAAGGAATAAATATATTTCCTTTTAAATACTCCCAAAATTATATTTTCACACTCCAAAACCAAGAACTTTTTCAAACCTTGTTTGAGACCAATTTTTTCCATCAAACTATATTCTTTATCGGTGCTTGATCCCATTTCAATTACTCATTTTTTAATAAAATAATACTATAAGTAGATCTAAAATTTTTACTTATTTTTTGATCACGCGTTCTCCATTATAACACTATTGTAAAATGCATATTTTGAAAAAGAAAAAAGAAAAAAGAAAAAAAAGGCCCAAACAAGCCCAATTACGCTACTATAAGTGAGTAAAGCTCCCTTATCCAATTTGTCTAGAACTTTTAACATGGCCAGTCGAAATGGGTCCACTCGAACAAAACGAATAGGTTTATGTTGTTTGTACAGATTCATTTTGTCAGATTGGTGCCAGATTCGTACTTGACAATTTGTGATTGGATTGTTGAAAAATATTTTTGACACAACTACCAATGAAATCCTGTCAAACATGAATCTAGCATCATTCTGACAAAATGAATCTGTACGTATATCATATCTCGAATGAATATGGCCGATTCATATTTCAAACATAAAATTTTGTATCTACATTATTCCAAAAAAGATTTCATAATTTATTATGCTACATTATTAAAATCAAGAATACTAGATGATATATGAAATCTATTTATATATAGCCCCCACTTGGTCTCCATTTTTTGAAATGAAAATGGGTGAAATAGTATTTTTTTTAAATAAGTGATTGAAAAAGAAGAATAAAATTTTGATTTACGTGTAAAATATACTTTATAATGATTATGTGGTTGAAAATAGAAGAGAAAAATGCAATGTAATATAACGGGAGCCAAAGGGGGGGCATACTTTCCTCAAACATGCAATAAAGTCCTAATCAATAAAAAATGAGAATCAAATGGTGGATATTTATGATATGGTGTGTATTATTTTTAGATAGTAGATTAATAGAAGAACGAATTAGTGATTAGGCTTAGAAGATTCCTTGGTGAATGATTCAAGGGAGAGACGATCTAGTGGAGATTTTGGTTTGAAATATGAAAGGACACAATTTTAGGAATTTTGAGATTAATTTGACATGTTAAGGGCATGTTTGTTGGAATATAATTTAAACGCGCGTATGTTGGAGTAAAATTAGATAAGTAATGAATGATATGTATGATTTGATTAGTTTTCCACATTTCTATTTTACTATATAAAAACAATATTTATGGTTAAAAAAAAGTTGTATAGTATATTTTAAATAGGGAAATTACAAGATTTCATGCATTTGAAGATCAAAATGCAAAAATCATGTAGGAAAGTTTGTTATTCAGAATTCAGGTATTAATTTAATTATTAATATTAATATAAAATAATTCAACCCTATTTCAATTCGTCTCAATTTTATTCTAGACCCTAGATTAAGATCCGTCTCTCCTCTCTCACCACTCGCCATCGTCGGTGCCACTGCAAGAAGATTGGTGCCGTAGCAAGAGAGCGACGCTGTCTGCAAGAGACACGACGAGGACCTGAACGCACCGTCTGGAAGAGTTTCTTAGGAACATCACTGTTGTGAGGATCTCCACCCAAGGTGTGCCATGGGGAGATGTTGATGGTGTTGGTGACGGTGGACGATGGTGGTGTTGTTGATGGTATTGGTGGCAATTTTTTAGATCGAAGATGTTTGGCAACAGTTTTGGAGGTGAGGTGTTGATATCTGTGCCATCGCTTTTCCTTTGCAAACAAAATATGTTGTGCTACTGCTTGTGGTGGTATGTGCTGTGGAGTTGCTGGTATTGTGTGCCGTACCTCTGGCAGTGTTGGTGCTATTGTGGTGGTAGTGGTAATGGAACGGTGGCGGTGAGATGTTGGGGTAGTGCCTAGTGGTGATGTTGGTGATTTTTTTTGGTTGTTGGAGCGTGGTGGTTGTGTTTTGGTTTTGTCAGTGGAATTGGGTGGTTATTGTTGGTAATGGAATGGGCAATGGTGGTAGTGTTGGCGGCGAGATGGTGGTAGGCGACGGTGACAGGGTGAGGATGGTGGAAGTGGCGATGGTGGTGGTATGTAATTTGACCAGCTTTTTGTCCCGTGACTGACAATTTGATTACCCGTGACCTCAAAATTTGATAATTGTTACCAACAAATCTGAAAATATGTGATCGATAGATAAACTGTGATCTATAATTTTTTCATATATGACCAATTAAATAAACTGTGATATATACAGTTTTTGATTTGTGATCTCGAAATAATCTGTGACTAATTAATTTGATAATACGTGACTAATAAATAAGTTTGTGACTTATATTTATGAACATGTGACCACTAAAGGTATAAATATGTCCCTATTAGTTTCAATTAATAAAGTATACTTAATTAAAAAATGAAAACCTGATTTTTGCATTTTCAAAACTTTAGACATGAGAATTGAATTGTCAATACTTAATACCTTAATTGTGAATTTTTCCGTTTTAAATATTCATTAAAAAATAGGTGCGTCACATAATTTCCTCTATTTTAGACCCTTTAATCTGGCCCAAAAATTAACTTGGGCTTTATGACGAACTTGGTTCATGAACCAACCTCACAAATACCTTACTTTTATAGAAAAAATTAAAGGCAAAAAAAAAAAAAATCTTTTTGACATTTTAAAAAAAAAAAAATCTCTCTTTCATTAAAAATTAAATATTTCACATTGACCTCCTTTTATACTTTTTGAAACACGGTTTCTTTTCATTTTAATGTCAATGTTTCATTTTTTGATTAAAAATCAACATTTTCTACTAATTGCATGGTAGGGTAATGTATGCGTTATTTTATTACTTGTAAAACAACATTAAACCACATTTGCTCTCCATACCCAAGCCGGAGACCATGCCATCTCTTCTAAGATGACAATTTTTAGGTACTTGAGTGAACAAGGTAAACTCTGCAACTCACAATAAATTGAATGAGTGGTTCACTGTACCACTGATATTGGCTTAACAGCTACTTGTTTGGAGCTTCTCGACTCATCACCTCCACATCAGAAGGATTGAAACCACATTCATAGGCCGACGATTTTTTAGATGGGTAGAACTATTGGAAGAAAATAGAAATAGTGGAGGGTGCTTGATAATAATCCATTCCTTGAAAGCCAGTGAATACTAGAGCCAATAAATTGGTAGCTACTAAAGCATAAACTGCTCGATTTTTCTTCCTTGTGAGTATAGAATGATGAGCCCAAGTTACGACAACTCCAAAATTATATAAGTGTCAAAAGTGAGTGACTCTTCATCAGAATTGTTATAGTCCAAATACTC